GAATCAGGGCTCAGTTCCCTTTCCCAGGGTTCCTCTCACCAGGGATGATCCCGTTTGGGGTCGGTTTTGGGCTTGGGCATTCCAGAGGCAGAATTCCCGGGAATGGCGGGGTTGATCCCATATTTTTTTGGGGATTTCAGGTACTGCACGGAGGGGAAGAGGACGTTCAGCAGCCGCCTGATCCTGGAGAAGCACATCCAGGTGCGCCACGGCATCAAAGTCCCGGAGCAGATGCGGAGCCAGGAGGTGGTGATCGCCCGCGTGGGCTCTGGGCCCGCCCAGGTGAGCATCCAAAAGGATTGCACGGGAATTTCACAGGAATTCTATGGGAATTTTATGGGAATTTCATGGGAATGTCATGGGAATTTCATGGGAATTTAGCAGGAATTTAACAGGAGTGCCACAGGATTTTCATGGGAATGTCACAGGAATTTCACGGGAATGTCATGGGAATTTCATAGGAGTTTCATGGGAATGTCATGGGAATTTCACAGGAGTGCCACAGGTTTTTCACGGGAATATCATGGGAATGTCACGGGAATGTCATGGGAATGTCACAGGAATTTAACGGGAATTTCAGGGGAATTTCATTGAGATTTTACAGGAATTTCATGGGAATGTCATGGGGATTTCACAGGAATTTCACAGGAGTGCCACAGGTTTTTCATGGGAATGTCATGGGAATGTCATGGGAATGTTATGGGAATTTCACAGGCATTTCACAGGAGTTCCATGGGAATTGTGGGGGATTTGGGGGGCGCCTCATCCCACAATTCCCGCTGGGATCCCCCATCCCAACATTTCCCCTTTCCCCCCCTATTCCCAGGTTTCGGGCCGGAAGCGCAAACTCTCCTCGGACGATTCGTGCAGCGAGGAGCCCGACAGCACCACCCCCCCCTCCAAGAGCTCCAAGGGCAAATTCCGCTGCCGCAAGTGCGGCTTCGCGGCCTCGAGCCGGGCGGAATTCCAGGAGCACATCCCGCAGCACCGCACGGACGGCAGCTCCCAGCAGTGCCGCGAGTGCGGCCTCTGCTTCACCTCGCAGGTGTCGCTCAACCGGCACCGCTTCATCTCGCACAAGAAGAGGAAGGGAGCGGCCGAGGCCGAGGAGCGCGGCGAGCGCAGCCCCCGCGAGACGGCGCCGCCCGGAGCGGCCACAACAGCGGCCACGGCGGGGAAACTGAGCTGCAAAGTGTGTGGGAGGGGCTTCGACAGCCAGCTCAACCTGAAAACGCACTTCAGGACGCACGGAATGGCCTTCATCCGCGCCCGGCAGAACGCCGAGGAGAATTAGGGAATTCCGGGAATTCTGGGATAAACCTGGGATAGTTCAGGATGCACGGCATGGCCTTCATCCGCGCGCGGCAGAACGCCGAGGAAAACTGATCCTGGAATTTCAGGAATTATGAGATAAACCTGGGAATTCAGGGCACATGGCATGGCCTTCATCCGCGCCCGGCAGAATGCCGAGGAGAATTAGGGAATTCCGGGAATTCTGGGATAATTCAGGACGCACGGCATGGCCTTCATTCGTGCCCGCCACAACGCCGAGGAGTATTCGGGAATTCTGGGATAAACCAGGCATGGCATGGCCTTCATCCGCGCGCGGCAGAACGCCGAGGAGAACTGATCCTGGAATTTCGGGAATTCTGGATCCATGGCATGGCCTTCATCTGTGCCCAGCAGAACGCCGAGGAGAACTGATCCTGGAATTCTGGGATAATTCTGGGAATTCTGGGATAAACCTGCGATAGTTCAGGATGCACGGCATGGCCTTCATCCGTACCCAGAAGAATGCTGAGGAGAATTAGGGAATAATTCCGGGAATTCTGGGATAAACCTGGGAATTCAGGATCCATGGCATGGCCTTCATCCGCGCGCAGCAGACCGCCGAGGAGAACTGATCCTGGGAATTTCGGGAATTCTGGAATAGTTCTGGGATAATTCTGGGATAATTCCAGACCCACAGCATGGCCTTCATCCATGCCTTGCAGAATGCTGAGGACAACTAGGGAATTCGGGAATAATTCTGGGAATAATTCTGGGAATTCTGGATCCATGGCATGGCCTTCATCCACGCCCGGCAGAACGCCAAGGACAACTGATCCTGGGAATTTCAGGAATTCTGGGATTAATTTCGGGATTTCTGGGAGTTCAGGATGCATGTCATGGCCTTTATCCACGCCTGGCAAAATGCTGAGGAAAATTAGAGAATTCCGGGAATTCTGGACCCGCAGGATGGGCTTTGTCTGCGCCCGGCAGAATGCTGAGGAAAACTGATTTTGGGAATTCCAGGAATTCTGGGAATGGCCTTCATCCACACCCGGCAAAACACCAACAGCTGAGGGATCCCAGGGAACGGCGAAATTCCCAGGAATCGGCACCGTGCACATAAAACACTCCAGGCATCGGAGAGGACGGAGATGGGAATTGGGATC